AAATATCATGTTTAAATTGAGGTCGAAACCGTTTGAATGACGACGATTCCTCAGGTCAACTTGCATTATAAACAAATATTGTTTAAGTTGTAAATTATTACATCAAAACTTTGATATGAAAGAAAAGAAAACAAAAGATTGTTCACATATCAAGCTTAAGACACGATAAGTGGTTGACTAATAATTCGGGGAAAATTGTCCGCAAAAGATGGATCTCTTTGTCTCCAGATTTAAAAAGAATGATATTGTTATTAATTTTTAGAAGTGTGGCGGATTTGATGAAATTCAAAATAGTTCGGAAGTTACAGTACAGAAAATGAGTGCCGACAAAACTAGCTATTGTTATGAATACTGTTCTACAAGCAAATGCAACAAAGATATTTGTACATACCCTCCAAGTAAGGATTTACTTTTGCGTCGCAGTAATAATGATGAAGGTCATATGCGACTTTCAGCTTTCAGGTGACGGAATACCTCAGGTAACCCTCCATGCATTATTTGAGGCTCGAGCGGTTGCAATCGTTGACCAACTATTGAGCTATCTGGATAATCTACTCTCAATTCTGGCGAGATTTGTACTAACATACGTAAAGGACAAATGAGGGAAGTAAAACTGTTTTCTGCAAACCGACGAGTGTTTTCTTGTAACCATATATCCTGTTATGTTGTGTAATGAGGTTGCTAACCACACTTAAATGAAAATTATATATATATATATATATATATATAGTATATATATATATATATATATATATATATATATTAGTATATATATATATATATATATATATAATATATATAGTGCATATATAGAACATGTTTTCAAACATCCAAGAATATGTAAAATATGTTACTGCAAATATTTGGTGCACATTATATGTAAATCATTGAAATATATGCATTCATTTCTAATGATTTGACTGAGAAAAATACAATTGATTGGAATATTTATATACATTTGTATATCCTCTAGCAGACATAAATAAAGAATACAGTCAATTTATTACAAACTGTAAAATTTATCATCTAGGTATTCTAATTAGGTTCAATAAAGTGCATAATTATTGATCACACAGTTACAAGACAGTCTTTTACTTTCCCTTCATTTAATTATTGACAGAAATGCATGAAAACTGTATATCAGACATTGGGTTTTATTGCTCATTGCCTTTCGCCGCTTTTTCGATTAGTAGTCAATTACATTCGCATGAACACACCGTACAATCAAATGGACAGACAACCGTTAAACCGTCGACAGCCGTAATACATGTACAGTAAAAACTCGCTAATGAGACCAATGAAGGGACTTTACACAGCTGGTCTTAATAGCGGGTTGGTCTCATTAATGAATTTGATAAAACAGAAAACCAGGCAATATATTAAGGGATACCATGTACTGTACACATGTTTAATTCTGGGCTAACCTATTTCAAATGAGAAGATATAAAGCATACACTATTATTTTTTTTATTTTCATTTATTTTCTTTTACTTTTTAACATTATGAAATTTTTAAACTTCTTTAGCGGCAATGTGCAAGATTTCAAAACCGTACGTGCATTTTGACAACAATAACCGCTTTCCGATGAGAAGCCACATTTTTTCTTGAAAGTCACAAAAAAAGATAAATACTTACCATCCGTCAATTGTGTTTTTTACACTGACATATCTGTTTATCAGGAGGTGGAACCCCATATGGATACCAACAGTGAGCATCGGTAAAAGTATATGTGAATTTCCGCTACTCCAGATGTGAAGCGTTACACCAGATGTGACCGTGAGAAACAGGTCAATCTTAACTTTTTAACAGTTATAAAAAAGTGAAACCTGTTTGTAGGAAAATTTAAATGTGATTCTATCCGCCTTACTCTCCTCTTTATTACTTTTTGTATTGGAACTATATGTAGTCTTTATCTTGATATTATTTCCGTCGTGGGTTCTGGTGTGACCATAACATATGCAATACGTATGAAGAAAATGTCACTAAACGGACACAAAATTTTACTTTAAGATTTTACTAAATCTCACCACAGACCGATACTTGACTTTCGAACAAATCCAGATTAAAACATTTCTGGAGCTTAAATGTAATTTAAGCAGCGATTCCTTTGTTTGTAAATGTTTAAATTAGAATTTGTTCGAATGTTAAGTATCAGTATGTGTTGAAATTTCGTAAAAAAAAATGTATTTTGGGTCCGTTTAAATTTAGTGATATTTTCTTCAAACGCATTGCATGTTTTGGTCACACCAGAACCCACGACGGAAAGAGTATCTCAACAAAGACTGCATAGAATTCCAATACAAAAATGGGTAATAAAGAGGAAAGTCAGGAGGGTGAAATTACATTTCAATTTTCTTTAAAAAAAAAAGGTTTGAATTTTATATAACTGTTTCAATAATTGAAAAATTTCACTGCGATTGACCTAATTTCACTGTCACATCTGGTGTTATGGTTCCTCCCCCGTGTATTTACTAGTACTTCTGTCGACGGTTGAATGGTTGTCTGCCCATTTGATTGTACGGTGTGTTTTATTACTCTTAAAATAAAACAATTGCAGTTTGAACATTGTTTTTGTTTTCTACAGACTCTGAATGCAGGGATAGCAAACATGTTGATTGTGCTCAAATGAACTCAATGTTCAGTATATGTAAAGTGAAAAATGAAGCCAAGAAAATTTGTCCACGGTTTTGCGATCTATGTAATTTAGGTATGTATGCTACTTGTATGTCGGTTATATTAATCAAATCATGTATTTGCAGCAGTATCAATAATAACATTATCGTAACTGGCCAATGAAAATTGACTCACAGTTGGTTGTTGTTGATTTACATAAATATGTAAAATTTTGTAAGCAGCTCGTAAACATGCGCAAAACATATTACAATATTACTTTTAGAGAAATATATAATATCTTATTCATCCTGCAGTTGATGGTGGTTGGTCGTCATGGTCACAGTGGTCATTGTGTGATGTCACATGTGGGAATGGTTCACTGTTACGTCAGCGTACATGTAGTAATCCTACACCACAAAATGGTGGCCTTGACTGCCCAGGAAACAAAATTGAAAAGAAATCTTGCAGTCTTCAATTATGTCCTGGTAAATTCATTGAAAAGAAAATATTTGTTATATTTAGAAATATACTCAAAGATTTTTAATATTAGTATCTGCAAGTTGTATAAGATTCATTATCCATGCAACTTGTGTTTATTCAATAGACTAAATCATCAATTCCTTTGAATATATTCTGGATGACTTTAATTGATTTATTAAGGCATAAAAGTGTCATAAATGTTGTGTTTAGATAATTTTTGTTCAACCACATATTGTGTGTTTCCCCATGCATGTTTCACAAATGCGTGTTGTTGTGTCAAACTCAAAAGGTTAGTGTCAAGTAAGCTGGAACGTTAATCAGCAACATATTTTGGGTAGTACTCCTATAGCATCAATAGTGACTTTATTTATATAAAGAGCTTAATTTGTGTTTATATTTTACAACGATATTTGCAGAGCCTGCTTTAAGTTTGAAATACGATAAGATATGCATGTCTTTCTTTCAAGTGCATGGAGGCTGGGGTTCTTGGGGTGAATGGGGAACATGTTCCGCGACATGTGATACTGGAATGCGCCGTCGGATACGAACATGCACGAACCCGCGCCCGGAACGTTTCGGCAACCATTGCTTTGGCAACAACGATGAAGCCGAATTGTGTAAAATTGGTCCTTGTGCAAGTAAAGTCTGTTTGATAATATCTATTCATACCATCAATAAGGTTACAAATTCTATAGAAAAATGTTACTTAAATTGTATTTAAAGAAATTGTTTTGTGTATTGTATGGTAGTCTTAGATCAAATATTTTATTTCATTAACTCCTTCTATCAAACAGATTTGACTTTCATCTGCTTTATGGCACGATATATACACAGCACACAATAACGAATGCTTACAGGCCTTTTGACGTCGAATATGGCGTCAATTATCCAAATTAAGTCATAAAAATGAGGCCTTATGAAATTTATTTCTCTTTTTATTAGCATGTTAGAATGGATATATAAATTATATTGAATGTAATAGAATAATGGACTGTTCATCGTTAAAATCCTTTATACTAAATCATTCGGGCATATCGCCCTTCGTAATAACATTCCTGCGCATTTGAACTTGAACCGTGCATTATCCAACAGCAATGCACTCTAAATTGATATAAATTAACTTATAGTACATTTGTTTCAGAAAAGGTTGCTTTTGATGCATACACAACAAATAGCAATAGTCACTACCGTGATGGAAGCGTTCTCGTTTTTCCACATATCAACATTAACGATGGACAAGGGTACAACCCATTAACTGGCATCTTCCAGGCTCCAGTTGCTGGGGTATACCAATTCACAGCACATGTTTGTCAACAAACAAATAAGCATATGGTCATTAGTATCATCAAGGGCACGAAGCAAATTGCGGCTACCACGGGGTTTGAAAGTGCTACTTCATCTTGCAGTTCCATCAGTGCTATTGCTCGGGTTGAGAAAAATGAAAAGGTATACGTAAAGGCGCGTTGGAGCGCAAGCTATTTGTACTCGGACACTTACCGATGGCCTTCTTTCAGCGGAATTTTTATGTACAGTTAGGTTAATTTAAGAAATACTGAATTAAAATCATTATAGGCTTGATAATCCATATTTTTAATTTCCTTTAAGATGTCAATTTTTTTAAATAATGTTTTGATAATGAATGTGTTTTAAAACTTATAAAGTAGCGCTAAACGTGCAGTAATGTGTCGTAAAGGCTGCTAAATCTGTTCAAAGTAGTATTTTTACTTCCATGCAAAACACGAATTCACTTTTTAGTTATACGAATATACAATAGAGCTACATAAGCAAACTCTTGTTTATGTATATGGCAACTGATTTTATTTTTTTGGAAACTGGAAAGATACCAAAAATAAAAAGAAAACTTTTAGGGGGAAATGATAGCATTTCTATGGAAAAGCATATCTTTAATTGTTTAATCGTCAACACTTGCATTTTTTCCCTAATCAACTTGTTTCAAGCAGGCATAATGTAAGACAAAATAAAAAATAATAATGTTTGAAATTTCTTATGATAAGGGTGACAATTATCACCGTTCATCAAAAACGCTCTTGCTTTAAGAAATTCATAATAACTTGTAGAAAGATAACTAAAAATCTGTCATGATACATTGTTTGATTTCTATGTGCCAACTATTTAACATAACTGTTAAACATTAGTCTTCTCTTATTGTATCTCAAGTTGACATATAGAGGATATTTTTTTGTTTGTGTGTAAGATGAAATTTTATTTCATCGAATGGGCTTTAAAAACAGTATTCTCACGAGTGGCGTAGCCACGAGTGAGAATACTGTTTTTAAAGTTCACGAGATGAAATAAAATTACATCTTACACAACAAACAAACAAATTTTCTTTTTATTTTATGCTAAAAAACAAGTTTAAACGAAATTTCCATAATATTAACATAAATATTAAAATCTGTTTCCCCATTGAGAGCCTCATTTCGTGCGAATTTCTCATTAAAAACAAGAAGTCTTGAGCTGAAAAATAAGTCCGACAATCAACATTAAATGACAGTGATATTATTTATTTTGTTTAAAAAATATGAATGATCGCTTGTTTTAATAATAAAAACAAACAATTCGTGTAGGAGAAAATTCCAACCATCCATCCATATTTCTGTTACTGAATTTATATTAGACCTGGCTTTGTTAAATGTAAGCGGCAGCCATTTTTTAAAGTTGTGTATTTCACGGGAGGAAAATAATTGTGTTTGATTCAGAGGGATATCATTTGGAATTGTTAGTCATACACCTTTTTAAAAGAAAGAAAACATATTTGAGGATTGAAACAGACAAAAAATAATTGTTGACAGATGTGAAAACATGAAAAAAGCAGCTATGAAAATGGAAGACTTGGAACTTGCTCGGAATGCTGGGTGGTTTACTTGTTCTACGAGCTGTAGCTGTCATTGCTTTTCAATTTTTCATAAAGCATACGGCAGTTATTACTCGTAGGATACTTTAATATGCCCAAATGTCATCAAGAGCAGTTTGCATGTGGAAGGAATGTATTTTTCAGACTGTAAAAATGGGGTACCGGTAAAAATGAAACAAAAACTTTAGAGACGAAATTTGGTGATTGGAATTTGAATGAATAGAAGTAAGTTTTCTTCTTTTTATTACTTTTGACGTTTAAGGTATTTATCAATTTCAGCTTTGCTTTTTCTTTAAACAGCCTGACATTGTCAGAATTGTCAGCAAAAATAAAATTGAGGTACCACATGGGGAAAATCTTAAAAAAAGTAGTTTCGTCATTGAAAAAAGTGAAATTATATTTTGATAATTTTCACTGTGAAATTACCAAATATAATTTTCACGGATAAATCAGTAATCCACTGAAAATCATAAAATAAATGTGTTTATTTATATGTTAATACAAGATGATGTACTATGTGCAAATTTGAATAAATTATCTGTTTTGCTCTGTTAAAGATATTAATATAAAATGTTAGATGATATATTCGTATACTGTATACAGTGGAATGAACCTGTCTACCCATGGTGTTATGATTTATTGCAATTTGAATTACATAATGTTGAGTTCTCTTCGAGCCGGTGTTAGGGTATGCAGACGATAGCTTGCTTTTACCACTAAGTCCACGCAATGGAGTCATCAAATTGAGAATGTTACATATAATTGACGACCTTTTTTGTTGGTTTTGATTTGTTGCTGTTGATGTGTTATATTACTAGCTAATATTTTTGTATGTTGAGAGAAAGTTAATGTAGCATTAAATCGTTTAATAGCTATGTTAGTCGCTGTAACTTGTTACTTCTCGATTATATTTCATAGCCGATTAAACATGCGTTTGCAAAATTAAGGAAGTAAGAATGTAACTATAAACAAAATTTTTTCTCTATAAAACTTCAACAGTATAAAATAAATAGTCCTATCCAATGAATGTAAAACTAGACGATTGTATGCTATTAACACGTGTGTACACAAAAAAAGAATTATTACTTAAATATAAACATAAATTTTGTAACTTGAAGCTTAATAAAATATTATCTTTTAACATGTTTGTCTCGTTTAATCATTTGAGACTCTATAACTTTGTTTGTGTATGTGTATATGGAGTATTTAATACATTTCATTTACTATCAGCAATGGACTATTGTAGTTTCACAATGACTACAGGTAAATGTAGAGTTTATTTTCCGTATACAGATTGATATCCACAAAGGTTAATCGGCATCGTCATTTTGTTCTGGTTTCTCTTTATGTTATATCATAATTATGTGAATTTCCAGATTATTCGATGCCTATTGTTTGGCATTATTAACATAAAACTTTTTTTTTTGCGGGATGTTTTTCGTTAATTTTGTAATTTATTATTATTTACGCTTAAAAATTAAATGATATTACAGATCTCGATACTTTAATCAAATAATATTATACAATATAAAATAAATTATTAAATACTGTTTGTAGGCCGAGTGGTAAGAACGAGGAAGTTGTGATCACGTTATTTTCAATATGTATAGTCGCACAATGCGTGACTCGCATGTATAAAACATAAAGATTAAGTCTAGAAAAATATAATAATAAATCATACAAGAAAACATTAAACAACATATGATTCAAACCTACAACTTACTGAAAGTCTTACACCTTGTCAACGAGGCTTATAAGTCAAGTGGTATGCTGGTAATTTATACATTTACCGTAGTATTTTACGGTAAAATCCGCATGGTCTATAATTACTGACAAAAGGTCATTGAAAATTCAAATGTCTCAGGTCGATATTGCCAAACAATACCTAAACTTAATTACTGTTGGTTAAAACTCAAAGTTATCTGGAAAATATTGCTTACTGAAAATTTACTAGCTAAGAAGGAAAGATAACTAAGTTTTTCTATTTTATTAGTTATAATATTTTAGTGCAGCTATTTTAAACATAAATACACGTAAGGCTATATGATAGTGTTACAGGTGCTTAAATTACAATAAATAAAATCCTAAAACAGTATTTTAACTTGTATTTGATTTTTCCCTAACATATTTTACCCTATCATTGAAGCATCTTTACCTATCACTCTATACTTGTGCATTTAACACACTACAATGTTATCATCAAATTGTATATTCAATTGGAAAATACATTTAAGTAATTGCAAAATACATATTTTCCAGGTAATTAAATAGCATTGTGTTTTATATACATGTTTCTTCATATTGTAATCTGTTTTGTAAATAATGCTTTTAAAAAAGTTTTTCTATGCGACGATCTTTTTTTGTTGGTTCTGTTTTGTAGTTGTGGTTGTTTCATATTACAAGCTAATATTTTTGGTATGGTAAGGGCAAGTCAATGTAGCATTAAATCGTTTAATATCTATGTTAGTCGCTATTACTTGTTACTTCTCAATTATATTTCACTGCCATTTTAACATGCTTTTGCAAATTATAGTTGTTGAATTAAGGAAGTAAGACAGTTACTGTAAATATTAACAAATTTATTTGTCTATAAACTTCAACAGTATAAAATAAATAGTCCTATCCAATGAATGTAAAACTAAATGATTTTATGCTATTAACACGTGTGTACACGAAAATGAATTATTATTTGAATATAAACATAAAGTTTGTAACTTGAAGCTTAATAAAATACTGTCTTTCAGCATAGTTGTCTCGTTTTATCATTTGATACTCTATAACTTTATTTGTGTATGTGTACATGGAGTATTTAATACATTTCATTTATCAGCAATGGACTTTTGTAGTTTCACATTGACTAAAGGTAATTTTAGAGTTTATTTTCCGTATACGGATTGATATCCACAAGGATTAATCGCCATCATCATTTTTTCTGGATCCTCTTTATGTAATATCCAAATTATGTAGAGTTCCAGATTATTCGATGCCTATTATTTAGCAACATTAACATAAGACTTTTTTAATTTCGTGACGTTTTTCGTTATTTTTGTAAATTATCATGATGTACGCTTAACATTTTAATAATAGTACAGATCTGGATACTTTAATCAAATAATGTTATAAAATATATAATTAATTCTGCTTATTGGCCGAGTGAAAAGAACAAGGAAGAGTTGTGATCACGTTATATGAATAGATTACACGAGCTGATAACGTGTGTGTTTTATTTCTTTTTTTTTTCTTTTTTCATTCAATATTGTCATTTTTGATAAATAAATATTTCTTCATTTCATTAATTTCAATATGTATAGTCGCACAATGAGTGACTCGCATGTATAGAACATAAATATCAAGTCTTGAAAAATATTATAATAAATCATACAAGAAAACATAAAAAAAAAACATTTGATTCAAATCTACAACTTACTGAACCCCTTGTCAAGAGGCTTATAAGTTAAGTTGTTTGCTGGTTAGTTTTACATTTACCGTTGAATTATAATCATTAAAATCCGTATGGTTTACGTCGGAATTTTATAATTACCAGCAAAAGGTCATTGAATATGCAAATGTTTCTGGCCAATATTGCCAAACCATACTTTGACTTAATTACGGTTGGGATACACTCAAAGTTATCGGGAAAACGTTGCTTACTAAATAATCACTAGCTAAGAAGGAAGTATAACGAACTAAGTTTGTCTATTTATTAGTTGAATAATATTTTATTGTAGCTATTTTATACATAAGTACAAGTAAGGTTATATGATAATGTTACAGGTGCTTAAATTACTATAAATAAAATCCTAAAACAGTATTTTAACTTGTATTTGATTTTTCCCTAAAATAGTTTATCCTATCATTAAAGCATATTTATCTATCACTCTATAACTGTGCATTTAACAAACTAATATGTTGTCATCAAATTGTATATTCAATTGGAAAATAATTGCACAATATATTATGTTTAATATATATTTTCCAGTTAATGGCGGCCGACAGTACAGCTTATAGTCAGCCCACTTAAAACCTTATCTACAAACTCATAAAAATATACATATATAAAAACCCAAACACATAAAATCGCAACACTTCACCTTGCTTCAAAAACTATCGAACCGCTATGCATTCGACCCCCTGATTACAGTCAATGTTAAATTATTTGAATTCATACTGCCAAACATGGAATCTGAAAGTTAACACAACTAAAACTAAAAAATGATATTTGAACAAGGCAGACACTCAACGTTTAACTTTACTTTCAACAGTCAAACGATAGAAGTCGTTAAAAACTATAAATA